ACAGCTTATTATCTGTGATTGGTTACAGCTAATCACATGGTACAGGGTGCTGTGATTGGTCCAGGTATACCATGTGATAGCTGTGGGACAATCACTGCATCAAAATACTAAGCAAAACAGTCCTGAACGGAAACAGGATTTATATAGCACCAACAGTTTGCACAGCGTTTTACAATAGGAGAAAAATACAGTTCAATACAGAAGGAATAGGAGGGCCCTGCTCATGAAGCTTACAGAATCGAACGGGGGGGGGGGATCTAATCAGTTACAATCTTAATGTGCAGAGATATATGATTAGATGGAAGGTGAAAACAAGCGAGATTTTTTAGGGGAAGAAAAAATGGCAACTGTTTGACAGTTAGTGCATTAGCAATATAAATACCATTCAGTTGTTAATTGATTGATAAGTAACATTATGCTTTTTTACATTTTAGACTGGGGAGCCTTGGGATTTTGCATTCAGGAGCTGCTACTGAAAAACTAGTGGAGAAATCCTGGGTTAGGGTGTGATTATTAACTTTTAGCCTTCTTTAGGTGTGTGATTTCTTGGCAACAGATGCACCCAATATTTTGGCAAGCTAAAACAACATTCCATGTATTTTTATTTACTTAATCTTTAAAAACTCGAATAACTCTTCCAGCAACGGTATAAACAGTACAAAATGTGAGTTTAAAGTGTTCCTAAACCCATGACCTGCATTCACTATATCTGGTCTCCCCGGACCCTGCATTCACTATATCTGGTCTCCCCAGGATCCTGCATTCACTGTATCTGGTCTCTCCAGGACCCCGCATTCACTGTATCCGGTCTCCCCGGACCCCGCATTCACTATATCCTGGTCTCCCCCCGGACCCCGCATTCACTATATCCGGTCTCCCCGGACCCCGCATTCACTATATCCGGTCTCCCCGGACCCCGCATTCACTATATCCGGTCTCCCAGGACCCCGCATTCACTATATCGGTCTCCCAGGACCCCGCATTCACTATATCCGGTCTCCCAGGACCCCGCATTCACTATATCCGGTCTCCCAGGACCCCGCATTCCCTATATCCGGTCTCCCAGGACCCCGCATTCACTATATCCGGTCTCCCAGGACCCCGCATTCACTATATCCGGTCTCCAGGACCCCGCATTCCCTATATCCGGTCTCCCAGGACCCCGCATTCACTATATCCGCGTCCATCCTCCAGGTCTCCCAGGACCCGCATTCACTATATCCGGTCTCCCAGGACCCCGCATTCACTATATCCGGTCTCCCAGGATCCCGCATTCACTATATCCGGTCTCCCAGGATCCCGCATTCACTATATCTGGTCTCCCCGGACCCCGCATTCACTATATCTGGTCTCCCAGGATCCTGCATTTCACTATATCTGGCCTCCCACAGTACACAGAACATGGAAATAATAAACTGCTAAATACCTTTTCTCATCAGCAGTTAGAGCAGTCTTGTGACTTCTAACAGTGTTCAGCACAGCACTGGTTAAAGTTTGTAGGAGGAGTTTTCATTCTCCCAATTTGGCCTATGATGCTGCAGGACCCCTGACCCTCTGTCTTGACAGTGGTGATTGGCCCTGTGCTGAGCACATGCACTTTCCCAAGAAAAAAAAAACCTCTCTAGCAATACACAGCAAACTGAGCATTGACAGAGTGCCCCCAAGGCTCTGCTCTATCAGAAGGTGGCTTGGGAACAGCAAAAGATGGGGAGGTTCAGAGAAGACAGGATCAAACAGCCTTTTTACACAATGAAGAGGATTAACCCCTTAGGTTCCACAGTGAGTATAACAAGCATGCTTTACTGCATATACAGACTGATTTTACTGTTGTGGGTTTAATAACACTTTAGGGATTAAAACAATTAGCACAGTGACGTAATGATTACCACTTGTGCGTGGCAGTACGAGGGTCGTCGGTTTTGAATCCCAACCATGGCACCACCTGCCTGGAGTTTGCATGTTCTCTCTGTGCCTGCGTGGGTTTCTTCTGGGTACTCCGGTTTCCTCCCACACTCCAAAGACATGCTGGTAGGTTGACTGGCTCCTGTCTAAATTGGCCCTAGTATGTGTATGTATGAATGTAAGTTAGAGACCTTAGGTTGTACAAACCTTGAGGGTTAGGGACTGATGTGAATGTACATATATATATATGTAAAGTGCTGCGTAAATTGATGACGCTATATAAGTACCTGAAATCATAATAATAAATAAACAAGTCATGTAGGTAACAACATATGAACAGTGAAACATACCGTACATTTAGACTATAATCATTTGGAAATGTCTTGTAAGAATTTGCAGGCAAAACTCCAAATATTTGTAATTCCTTAAACCAAAAAGAGAACCTTTTAAAAGTCAAAAAAAGAAAGTAAAACAGAAAAAGTTTCTAAAGATCATTAAAAAAACTTCACAAACACAAAGTGTGAGGGCTTTCCATGTATTTACCTAAACCTGAATTATAGAGAGAGCACTCCGGCCACATTATATCTGCAGATAAATTATATATATGAAATTCATTTTTTAAATAAAATAACATGCCCATCAATAGTTAATTAAATATAAAGGGCAACATTTTACACCTATTCAGTTTTGGATACTTTATGTGAAACTTTTCTATAGCATGTATGAGCGAGCAAGAAATCAATAAAAGAAACTTTGAGGAGTGAGTGGTACGGGAATGAATGGAGTGAATGAAGAATGAATGGACACAAGAGGAGTGAATGAGGAATGAATGAGGCACTGAGAGGAGCGAGTATGAAATGAATGCTGCACTGAGATAAATGAGTGAGGAATGGATGGGGCACTGAGAGGAGCGAGTATGAAATGAATGCTGAGAAAAGCGTGGAATAAATGGCAACACAGAAGAATGAATAAAGAATGAATGGGGCACTGAGAGGAGTATGAAATGAATGCTGCACTGAGATAAATGAAGTGAGGAATGGATGGGGCACTGAGAGGAGTGAGTATGAAATGAATGCTGCACTGAGATAAATGAGTGAGGAATGGATGGGCACTGAGAGGAGTGTATGAAATGAATGCTGCACTGAGATAAATGAGTGAGGAATGGATGGGGCACTGAGAGGAGTATGAAATGAATGCTGCACTGAGATAAATGAGTGAGGAAATGGATGGGCACTGAGAGTAGCGAGTATGAAATGATTGCTGCACTGAGAGGAGTGAGTGAGGAATGATGGGGCATTGAGAGGAATGAGTATGAAATGAATGCTGAGAGAAGTGAGTGTGGAATAAATGGCAACACAGAGGAGTGAATGAGGAATGAATGGGGCACTGAGAGGTATAATTAAGGAATGAATGGGGCACTGAGAGGAGTGAATGAGGAATGAATAGCGCACTGAGAGGAGCAAAAGAGGAATGAATGGGACACTGAGAAATGTGACGGTGCGAAGAATAGGGAATTGAGAGGGAGAGAATGAATGCGGTACTGAAAGGAGTGGTGTTGTAGAAGGAATGGAGCATTGAGAAGTGAATGAATGGGGCATTCGGAGAAGTGAATGAAAAATCAATGGGGCACTGGAAGGAATGAACAAGGAATTAATGGGGCACAGGGGGAGAAGAATAGGGCATTGAGAAGAGTGAGTGTGAAATGAATGAAGCTTCACAATGTCTATAGAAATAATTAACATTGCCATCAAAAAATCAATCAATTCAATATAAAAAGCATAAATTTACACCAAATCAGTTTGGTCTATTTTGTAAATGTGTTAACTTTTTCTGTATCAACTATTGTCACTGTGAAGTACTATAAGGACTGAGCAAGAATTAAATAAAATAACCTGAGGAGTGAGTATGGACTGAATGGAGCACCAAGAAAGGTGAGTGAGATATGAATTTGGCACGGAGAGGAGTGTGTATGAAATTATTGGGGCATGGAGAAGAGTGAATGTGGAATGCATGGGGTACCGAGAGGAGTGAATGTGGAATGCATGGGGTACCGAGAGGAGTGAATGTGGAATGAATGGGGCACCGAGAGGAGTGAATATGGAAAGAATAGAGCACTGAGAGGAGTGAATGTGGAATGCTTGGGTCATTGAAAGGAGTGAATGTGGAATAAATGGGGCACACCGAGAGCAGTGAGTGGGGAATAAATGGGGCACAGAGAGAAGTGAATTAGGAATGAATGGGGCACCGAGAGGAGTGTGAGTGAGCAATGTAAATGGTACACGAAAGGATTTATAGTGGAATGAGTGGAACCCTGAGAGCAACAGACATGGAATTAAAAGGGCACTGCAGAGGGGTTCATCTCTGCTCTCCACCCCCATCTCAGCAGTTGGCAGAAGAGAGGACAGAACTCCTCCTATAGATCCTGCACCTCTCTGAGCAGCCACAGCACCCCTTTGTCTCTGCCCTCCCCCCATCTCAGCAGTTAGCAGAAGAGAGGAGGACAGAACTCCTCCTACAGATCATGCACCTCTCTGTAGTCACAACATCCCCTCGTCTATGCCCTCTCCCCCATCTCAGCAGTCAGAAGCAGAGAGGACAAAATTCTCCTACAGATCCTGCGCTTCTCCGTGCAGCTGCAGAGGTGTTTGTCTCTGCTCTCCCCCCCATCTCAGCAGTTGGCAGAAGAGAGGACAGAATTCCTCCTACAGATCACTGCACCTCTATGTACAGCCACAGCACCCCCTTGTCTCTGCTCTCCCCCCCCCATCTCAGCAGTTGTCAGAAGAGGGGACAGAACTCCTCCTACAAATTTTGCAAACCTCTATGTACAGCCACAGCACCCCCTCGTCTATGCCCCCTCTCTCATCTCAGCAGTTGGTAGAAGACAGGAGGACATTACCCCTCCTACAGACCCTGCTCCTCGCTTTGCAGCAGTACCTCCTGGTCTCCTCCACTGTCCTCAGCATTCAGCAGACTCTGGCACCTGACTCCAGCCCTCCTCCAAATCCTACACATTCTGCTTCCCAACTCTATCCCCAGCGTATTCCCAGTAGCAGCACAAGGTAAGGGGGGGTGTACTATGGTGTAAGGGAGGGTGGGGGGCTCTGGACATCCAGACTTACAGATATGACTGGCTGTTTGAGGGGCAACCATAATGCTGATGTGGCCCAATGATGAAATTGAGTATGACCCCCCTTGTACTAGAGGAACCCTTGAGTTGGCCTTGATACGCTGTTGTGCATTTTGTACTTTTTGTATGTAAACCTGTTAAAAGCTTTAATAATAAGATTGAGCTTTCCAAGGAAGAAGAATACATGCAACTGTGTGAAGAAAAAAAAAGACTAAATTGTTGTATATCATGTAATCATACCTTCCATTGAGTTGAACTCTATGGGACCACTGGTCCAAATGGGGAGCTGTAGAAGTGGAAGGTCCCCCTAGCATCTAGGTGTATGCAGGATATGGGTGATGTATCAGGTCCTAGGCAGACAAACCCATAATTGGCCTTGGAGTACAATCCTTCAGCAATGGCCTGCTCACCTTTATAGAACACCTGATATTTGATGTGCAGATTACATTGCTATGCAGCCGGTTTTTCTATGCTAGCTGTCATTTCATTTCTAAGGTTTAAAGTGACAGTTGGTTGTTCTCTGTTATACCAGACGAGAAGGTGGAATACATCACCCTGTACCCAACCAATTTCTGCTTTGGAATACCATTACAATGATCCATAAATGTTTTTGAAGACATTTATAAAGCCAGCTTATAGCTTATCATATGTTTAGTGGCACTGTTTGTCTGATCCAATTTAGTAATTTGGCAAAGTTTACAGCAGCTTTTGGGGACATTACCATCTTTGCTATTTGACCTCTGACTTTTCAGACCACAGGTGACAGCAGGCTTCAAGGTGTCTAGGTGATGATACTGCCACCTACAGCGCACCTGTTCCACACTGCAAATTGAAACATTACCCGCCAATATAAGTAGCATTCGTCCTACTGACCACCAATGTAAGGAATATTCTTCCCACTGACCACCAATATAAGGAGCATTCTTTGCACTGGCTGCCAATGTAAGGGGCATTCTTCCCAATTTTTCTTTATTAAAAGTCTCGCAATCAATAAACATAAAATATTATACAGAATATAAAAAAAAATATATATATTTACAGCAAAACGAAAATAAACATAGCAAAATCTGCTGTCAGACAAAAGCAAACGTCTCAGAAATGAACATGACATAATTGGGGAAATAAATCGTACTACCACTCACATCACTACACCAGACATCAAACCTGTGAGGTCAAGAAACCACCCCGCCCCCCTTATGCATGCAGCCCTTCTTCAAAAAAGATCTTAATCAACAAAAACTACGGGAGTGAAAAGAACAGTATAAGGAAAGACCCCCTCACCCAGAGATGGACAGTTCACCAAAGGCAGATCTGATATTCCTCCACGCCCTTATCCAGACCGCCCGAGGCTCCCTGCCCTTCTCAAGACCCCGAATCTTCCCAACCTCACCCAGAATATCGTGCACCACCACCTCTACAGGGAGGACTTTCTTCCGGATGGTAATCTGACACCGTGCGTTCCATGTGAAGTAACGGACAACTATACTAACTAGAAAAAGTGTATCCAAATCAAAGTCCCAGTGAGCTGGGAATGCCCCGTACACCCACTCTGCATAACTCATGCGATAGAGAAAGGGGATGCCCAGAACCCTCCCCACCCTTTTATACACCTCTATGTTAAAGGGACACAGGAGCAGAAAGTGGTCCATAGACTCCACTTTACCAACACACTCTGCTCTAGGACAATCCCGATCATCCACAGGG